GCTTTTGTGATCTCAAAAATTCAGCTGCTTTGTACTCAGGTTTTCTGTGAGAGGGAGTAGCTCATATAATTCCCTTTGAATCTAACCTAATGAAGCTGAAACAATTGTTGTAAGACCAGTTTCTTCCTAAGCTCTGCAGAGCTCACAGTAGAAGCTGTGAATATGGCAGTACAATATATTTCACAGGTAAAATGAGAGTCATCCTAAAAGGAAAGATAATGAGTGCCCTTCCAAAAAATCATCTGCTTTGCTGATGTTTCTCCTTTTGCTGGGACTGTGTCAAACGGCAGAAGCGGAATGGCTCCCAGCATCTGCCCCTCTTTTTTATTTTTTAGATACAGTGCTCTGATTTCCAATTGGGTGGCTTGAATCCCACTGCCAATTAATTGGATGATTACTGGGAAAATAAAAGCAAGAACAACAATAATTACTATACTAATGCCTATATTAATGACAAAGGAAAAAAATGCTTTGTGATAACAAAAGAAACAACCTTTTCCAAGAAAGAATGAGCTACTTCAGTAGTAGGAAGTAAAGCACTATCTGAATGACTTATGTCACTAATCTTTTTATGTAAAGCTATTAAATCAATGGAACTGTCACTATTCCAAATGCCTCGTAAATGCTGCTGGACTTTAAACCGAGGGACTTCAGTGTCCTTGTAAGGTAAAGGAGTGACTCACATCCATTTGTAATCTATATGACACCATGTAGTTAAGCGAACTTTGATGGCTTGAATTTAATTTCGTATATACAACACTGCCTCCTCTAAAGAGTTCACTTTAGCTTCTAAGTTCTTGTCAATTCTTTCTTGTACCTTCAGGGCCAGGGACACATTTCTTGATAAATGATCTACATGTTTGCAGTATGAATTTTTTGAACTAGGGCAGCTGCTGATGCAGTAACAGATCCTATTACAGTAATCAAGGCTGTTATACCCAAAATAAGTGTAGCAATAAAACGTTTCTTCCTATCCAGAGACTGATCAATAAATTTTAGAGCTTGTAAACCTGGATCATCATACCAAGGTCCATCAATATGAACAGGTATCATAATATAGGGAGATTGTTGAACTAATTACAAAACTTTGACATTGTCCGATGATGAAATATAATTAGACAGCATACAGGTTACACAATTAACTTCAAATAAACCATCACTGTTAACATATATATGAACATTTCCTTTTGGACCTTGTGACAATATAGCATAGGGAGCCTGCATACAGGCATGAATGAAATGTTCTTCAAGTACATAGTTATTGGGGCGACAAAAGAAAACAGGGCCCATGTCAGCAATTAATTGCCAGAGTCTACTTTGGGTATTGGGCTTGTGTGGTCCAAAAGTGGTTAACATGACAGGAACCCAACCTGGTGTATACCAACTATATATAGGTTCTGGCAGAGGAAAAGGAACATCACTCCAATTAAAGTGAAAATAACGCCAAGCAAAAGTGCGATAGTCAGATCTAGGAGCAGCTACGGACTAATCATATATTATATAATAAGGGGGTGAAAGGTTTAACAAAGGATACCTAACTGCTAAGTTAAAGAATGCACAGTCATACCATTGAGGGTATCCAACATCCTGGTTCACAAAATCCAGGAGAATCTTCATTAGGAGAGAATGGACTTAAAGGGAGAGTAGTGGGAGGGTGAGAGTTAATTATCAAAAAGGTATTATAATGAATCATGGGGACACTTAGAGAGATGGCCCAATGAGTGAAGTTGTTAGCTGTCACAACGGATACCTGACAAGCAAGAATAGCAAGCATAGCAACAAATATAGTCTCTGGAGTTGCCTCAGCTTCCTGGGAGTTGACAATTCTCACAGCATGCTCCATTAAGCATTTCAGTTGTCCCCAGGTGGGGGGTGGTCCTTGTCTAGTTGAAGCAGCCAGTTGTCACTGATGAGTCTGTAGCAGACCTGCTTGATCTTGAAGAGACAAACATTGGAGGGGAGAGATTAAAAGTCATGCTGTTGGAGCCCATGGTAGAGGAGGGGTCAGTGGAGGAGCTGATGGAGACACGCCTTCAGATGGCTCCTCATTGAACGCTTCCATGCTCCAGGGAGGGAGAAGCGGCAGTCGTCCCGACATAGGGTCGAATTAGTCGGTCTGGTATCCAGATGGCGGAGTCAGCGTCCTGTGGAAAGAAGCAAGCATATCCTCGCCCCTTGGTTAGTAACACATCTGGGCCATGATAATTAGAAAATAGATTAAAAGGAGTTTGTTGCAGATGATTAAAGGCAAAAATAGCAGCAATTAACTCTGTCCTCTGTGCCGAAGTTTCTGAAGTTTGCTGTAGATGTGAGATTTCTCCAATAAGGGTCACAGTTTGACCATCAGTGAAAACTGTAACAGCAGGTTTAGGGAGAGGCTCATTGAAAGACTGCAAAGGGAAAACTACAGGATGCTTATTAATAAACTGAAGCAGGGGGTTACTGGGAAGGTGGCAGAGTTTGTCCCGAAAAGTCTTCCAAGGCAATCTGCCAATCTACAAAAGATTGGTTATTTGGTCTGGGGTATAAGAGCTGATGATTTTAGAGAAATCTTTTCCAGATAATTCTCTGCTTCTTCTCCTACCTTTCATTATTAAAGTTGCAACCAATGCTGGGTAGGAGGTCACTATTTTTGTGGAGTTAAGGGAAGGTGTATCCATTCAAGGGGGCCTTTTGTGAACAGGAAAGTCCTAATCACTCTCATGGTGTTTGGCAGCTCCCTTTTCTAATTCAGCCTGATCACTGGGGCTTAAGTGATCAGGAGTGCTTTCATTTTCAGAATCTTGTTTATTAGCATAAGAAATGCTCGGTTTTGATGTTAACAGAGGTGTTTTCTTATTGAGCTTATCAAAGGTCTGAGATAGGGTATTTTCTCCCTTGATGGTCCTAGGGTTCTGTGTTCCTGGACTGTAACATTAACTGTATTTTCTCCCTTGATGGTCCTAGGGTTCTGTGTTCCTGGACTGTAACATTAACTGTTCCCCTCTTTTTGTTACAATACTTCTACCTTTATAGTTAAGGAGCTCTGGTAGCGTAGTGGCGTAGTGGCTATGAATCAGGCTGTGAACCGCAAGGTCAGCATTTTGAAACTACCAGCTGTTCCACGGGAGAAAGATGAGGCTTTCTGCTCCCGTAAAGATATACAGCCTCGGAAACCCTGTACAGGGTCACTATGAGTCAGAACCGACTCCACGGCACATAACAACAACAACAACAACCTTTACAGTTGTGACAGTCACAATTAGTCATGATAACAATCACTATTGAGTCATTAAGAATCTTTTTTTCAAAAAAATTTTTTTGTGAATTGAGTGATAGTTTACATGGGAGAACATCAGCTTTATATTCATCCTATCGTATTTCATTTCATTGCAATGATTGCAGTCACCTCCATGCATCATCATTTAACAGCATATGCTTCCATTCCCTCTGTTTTTTTTCTTTCTGTCTTTCTTTTTTTCTTTTTTCATGTACTTAGGAATATATAACCATTTAAACAACTAAAGGGCATACCCTGCAATCCTGCTTCCTGGCTGCCAGCATACAGACATTCTCCCTCCTTGAGTCTAGAGTACCTAGCCTTTCTGTCTCTCCACATCGTCTCTGCCTCCATTTCTAGCATTGCTGCATTTCTGAATAGGGTCCTGCACTCAGCTCTTCTCCCTTGATGATCCCAGGGTCCTTCGCTCCTGGACTGCAAGATCAACCACTCCTCTCCTTTTGTCTACCTTTACATTTGGAATAATCGCAATCAGTCCTGATACCAATTATTCACTATTGAACAAGAGTCTTATCCCCATTTCCTTTCACCAGCCCTGTCTAGATAGGTTGGAATCCACTCAGTGGAGATTCTATCTTTCCCCACACCCTCTGAAACTAAACTCCCTTTTGTAAACTTGTAAGCCAGTTTACTTTGTGCTCTTGTTGCCCTCTATTTTGGGTAGCCAATGTCTAAGTTTCCCATCCCTGTTAACCCTGTGTACAGAGGGTGTGGGAATGATCCTTATTGTAATGATTTGTTCCCTCTTTTAGGCTACTACATCCATAAGTATAGGTCAAGCTCATTAAATTGTAGCAGATTACACTTTTTTTTTTTCCTCTTCTTTCTTCCTCTAGTAGAGTTCTGATCATCCAGCCATTGAAACTAGGTCAAATGGATACTATCTGCGGGTATGAGCGTTCTTGTGCATCTCCCCTCACTTCATATCACTGCACACTTCACTCTGCTAAGGTCCTCTGTGGTTATGTTCCTGTCTGTTGGCTCAAGAGTCCCCAGGTCTCGCTATACTGCTGGCCAACCAGGTCTCAATCCAGATCTATTGAACGTGGTCGGATTTAGCCCACAGCTGCATTGCTGTTTTATCCCACTTCTCTTATTGTAGACCAACGTGGTCACCAGCAAGATTACATGACTGCTTGTGGATTCCCTTTGCGTTTCAGTCTTGGAAGGTTGTTTGTCCTGAGGGGACTTGATTGATTGCCCTGATAGCTCTCCTGAGAACAACTTGCTTCTTTTTGTAGTAGTCAGTCAGACTGCTATTATTGTTTTTGATTTTTCCTGCTGGTTTTTCTTTCAAGAAGTATCTTCTGTTCCTCTAGCTGCTCCAGACTGGTATGCTTATATTTTCAAGTGAAAATTTCCCACCTAGAAAATTCTGGATGGGTATCAGGTGAATCATAAGAATCTTATCCCCATCATCTTTCACCAGAACCGTCTAGACCAGATGAAAACTATTCAGTGGGGATTCTACCTTTCCCCACACACTCTTAAACTAGATTTCCTCTTGAAAACTTATAAACCCATCACTTCATGTATTTAAATCCCTTCCCATTTTGCATATGAGTGTCATGCTTGCTTCATAGAATGGATTAGGAATTTGCTTTGTGCCATATTCTGTTATTGCTGCAGAGCTCTGCACTGCACATCTTCCTAATCCTCCATTAAGCCTGCCTCAAGGATTGTCATTCTTTTGTTTGATTGTTTCTGTTTTTTGTTTCAGGTGCTGATTGTTGGGGGTTCTTTTGGTCTTCGTGAGTTTTCACAAATACGATATGATGCTGTAAAGATTAAAGTAAGACCTATAATTGGAGTTTAACATGTTTGTGTATGTATGCCCTGGTTTAGGGGAAGTTTACTTTGCTGTTTACTAAGCAGTCTGAGTTTTGTCTTATTTTTAAAATTAATATATAATGTCTAGGGTGTTTCTTACACTTAAAAAAAAATAGTGCTAATAATGACATGGAGTCCTGGTGTGGTACTGTTTGATAATGCACTGGACTGCAAGATTGGCTTGAACTGTAAAGTTGGTGGTTCAAATTCACCATCTACTCCTTGGAAACCCTTTCAGGGTCACTACTGAGTTGGAAACCCTGTACAGGGTCTCTATGAGTCGATTCCGACTCCACGGCATACAGCCATCACCACTAAGTTGGAACCGACTTGATGGCATTTAACAACATGGAAGTAGAAAATTTAGTCATCTTATTCCTTATCCAGGAAAACTGGTAGTATTTGATGATTAATGTGATATTCATAATTTAAAAATATGGGCATATCTAGACTGACTGAAGGTTTTTTGTTTTAAGGACTTGATAAATGGTGGTGCTAACTGCCAGGATTGGTTTCATGCCTGAGTGAAAAATGCTATGTGCTTGGGATAAATAATGCCACTCCCTCCCGTCTTCCATTACTCAATTGGATGTGACAGAGAGATGAGTATGAAAATGTCAGCTTTATTTCTGATTACAGGCTTTGTGGCTTTAGTTCTGTAGCAATTATGCTAATATATCCCTAGAGGTGTCCTTTACTGGCAGTTAAGTTTGAATCTACAGAGTTTAATTGTGTTGTCTTTTTGCTGTTAAGTTGTAGACATTTTAAAATATGTTTTGGACCCTAAATATATTAGACACTTGTCATATATGACTTTTGAAAATTTTGCTCTGATCTCTAACTTGTCTTCATTTTTGTTGAAACATTCTTTGATGACCAATAGTATTTAATGTTATACTGCCTCATTGATGTTGTCTTGTCTTTTGCTGCACATGGATGGTAGAAGTATCATGGCTCAGGTACAACTTAGTCCTCAAAGTGACATTTTTGCTCTTGTGCAGTGATTTGCCTAATACAATAATACGTCATTTTATGTCTTGACTGCTCCTTCCATGACTTTTGATAGTAGATCTAAGCAAAATGAAGTCTTTGACAACTTAAGTCTCTTCTACACTAATATTGTTTTTTATTGATCCAGTGCTGATTTTTATTTTCTTTACATTTAGATGCAACTGTACAGTTACTATTTTTAGCCCTCTTCACGTTCATGAAGCAAGGTTGTATCATCTGCATATCTCAGGTTGTTAATGAGAACAGAAGTACGTTCTGTTCTTATAGCCGCTCCAGCTTGGTCTGCTTGTCTTTTCAAGTGGAAATTTCCCAACTCAGAAGATTCTGGATGGGGTTCAGAATTCCACCTATGGTATTATGCAATGCAGAAACTCCACAGAAAGTCTCCTTCACTGGGCACTTTGTAGCCCCATTTTAGGCATTACAATCCATTATAGGCAGAAGACAGACTGATAAGCTTTCTATGATGATATTTCTGGCTATTTCTATCTCTCCCCCTCAAGTGTCTATTTTATAATGGTATTCCAGGGAAAACAAGATTCAAAAGACAGCCAAGCATCTTAACATTATTTTCCCCCTTTTGCCCATTCCAACCATGTCTCAATCCCTATATCCCAGAGCCCCATTTTTCCAAGGTTGGGCTTACATCCTTATTGACTTCTGTCCCACTTAGCGCATGCAAAGTTGCCGAATTGTTTTCCCATCCTCCTTGTTCTTCCATTCCCCTCTCCCTTCTTGTGTATTGCCCCCTCCCTAACACCCAAACTATCCTGTGCTCCACCTTTCCTTCCATCCTGGCAATCCACTCCCGTCATGCTGGTAACTAGCAAAGGATCGCCCCACCCCTGTAATATGGGACCTTTTTCTTAGTCTTTTACAGTAGTGGTTCTATGCAGTATTTCCCCTTTTGTGACTGACTAATTTCACTCAACATAATGTCCTCAAGGTTCATCCATGTTATTCAGTGGCTAGCAGCGTCCTTGTTATTTTTCAAGGTAGTATGATTTTCCATTGTGTGTATGTACCACCACAGTTTGTTTATCCATTCTTCAGTTGATGGGCACTTTGGCTATCTCCATCTTTTTGCTATTGTAAATAGTGCTGCTATGAACATTTGTGTGCATATATCTACTCGTGTTATGGCTTGTGTTTCTTGTCGGTAAGTACCAAGTAGAGGAATTGCTGAATCATAAGGTGTTTGTATTTCCAACCTTCTGAGGAAGTGTCCTATTGGTTGCCAGAGTGGTTTGACCATTTTCCCATTCCACCAGCAATGCAGGAGCATCTCAGGCTCTCCACATCCTCGTCAGCATTTATTGTCTTCTACATTTTTGATCTTTGCTGGTGTGAGATGATATCTTATTATTGTTTTGACTTGCATTTCTCTAATGTCTTGTGATTATGAACATTTCTTCATATGTTAGTTGGCTGCCTGGATCTTCTCCTTGGTGAAGTGTCCATGTCCGGTGCCCATTTTTTTATTTGGGTTATTTGTCTTTTTCTTGTAGAAGTGTTGTAGTTTCCTATATATTTTAGAAATGAGTCCCTTGTCTGATGTGTCATTGCAAAAGATTTTTTCCCATTCTGTGGGTTCCCTTTTTACTCTTTTGGTGAAGTCTTTTGATGCACATAAGTTTTTAATTTTTAGTATGTCCCAATCATATGTTTTGTCTACTTTTGTTTGTATAATTTTCAAAATGTTTCGTAGTCGATATATTCCCTGAATTAGTGCCCTCATTTTTTCATTGATGGCCTCCATAATTCTGGTATTCACATTTTGGTCTTTAATCCATGCTGAGTTGGTTTTTGTATAAGGCATGAGGTAAAGGTCTTGTTTCAGTCTTTTGCATATTGCTTTCCAATTCTGTCAGTACCATCTGTTGAAAAGACTGTCCCCTCTCAATGCAATATGTTTAGGTACTTTGTCAAAAATCAGTTGTATGTAGAGGGGTTAATTTCTGGATTCTCGAATCTGTTCCATTGATCAATGTATCTTTCATTGTACCAGTACCAGCCTGTTTTGACCACTGTAGCCATGTAATCAATTTGAAGTCAGGGTGTGAGAGATTCCCAACCTTATTCTTCTTCTTAAGCAGTGCTTAGCTTATCCTGGGTCTCTTTCCTTTACATATAAAGTTTGTGATTCTTTTTTCGATCTCTTTGAAGAATGTCAGTGGAATCTGGATTGGGATTTCATTATATGTGTAAGCTGCTTTTGGCAGTATTGACATTTTCACAATGTTAAGTCTTCCTATTTAGGAGCATGATACATTCCTTTTTGTAGGTTGTTATGCCCAGAATTCGGGGTCCCCAAAGACCACCAAGGAGCCAGCACCGATGCAAGTGCACAAGGGTTGTTTATTCAAGCTCGAGCTCGGACCCCACCTGCATCCGACGCAGCGGATTAGGGATGGAGCCCCAAACTCCCAGTTGGCAGAGTTTTTATAGAGTTTTCAAGCAAGCTCAGGGTTTTTCAGGTTTACATTTTTTGGATTGGTTGACATTTGGCAAAGTATGAGATGTTACAGTCTATTTGGTCAGTACTGGTGGTCTTTGCTTTTAGGCTAGGATAAGGGGAAACATCTGGCCTTGGGCTGTGCCCGTGTACGCTTATCTGTTGTTAGGGGTGAAGGGCTATTCTAATGCAATATGAGCTGATTTGGTACATTCCTGGAACAGGAGGATGTGTTCAGGCTAATGTAAAAATTGGAGTCTTTTCCTTAGGTCCTACAGGTTTCTTGTAGTAGTGTTTTGTAGTTTTCATTGTATATAGGTCCTTTGTTTCTCTGGTTACATTTATTCTTAGATATTTCATCCTCTGGATGGCTGTTGTAAAGTCCTTTTCAGCACTGTTGTTTTTGGTATAGAGGAATCAAACTGATTTCTGTATGTTCTTTTATCTTACCACTTTGCTGAATCTTACAATGAAGTCTAGTAGCTTTTTTATTGAGTCTTTGAAGTTTTCTATGTATAAGATCGTATCATCTGCAAATAGAGTTTTAATTCCTCTTTGCTAATTTGGATGCCTTTATTTTCCCTGTCTTGCCATATAGCTCTTGCTAAGACTCCAGCACAATATTGAATAGGATTAGTGACAAAGGGCATCCTTTTCACGTTCCTGTTTGCTCAGGGAAGGCTTTCAGTTTCTCTCCATTGAGAGTAATGTAGGCTGTTGCTTTTGTATATGTGCTCTTAATTATGTGGAGGAATTTCCCTTCAGTTCCTACTTTGTTGAGTGTTTTTTATCAGGAATGGTTATTGGATTTTGTCAAATGGCTTTTCTGCATGAATTGACATTATCCTGTGGTTCTTTTCTTTTTTCTTATATATATGGTTAATTATGTTGATTGTTTTTCTAATGTTGAACCATCCTTGCATCCCTGATATGAATCCCACTTGATCATGATGTATTATCTTGTTGATGTGTTGCTGGATTTTGTTGGCTAGTATTTTGTTGAGAATTTTTGCCTCTATGTTCATGAGGGATATTGATCTATAATTTTCTTTCTTAGTGACGTCCTTCCCTGGTTTTGGTATGAGGTTTATGCTTGCTTCATAAATGTATTTCCATCCTCCTCTATCTTCTGGAATAATTTGAGCAGAATTGGTGACAGCTCTTCCCTGAATATTTTGTTGAACTCACCAGTGAAGCCATCTGGGCCTGGACTTCTTTTGGTTGGGAGTCTTTTGATGACCTTATCAATTTATTCTTTTGTTATGGGTCTGTTCCGGTTTTGACTTAATTCTGTGTAAGTTTAGGTAGGCCATGTTTTTCTAAAAATGTATCCATCTTTTCAAAAGTTTTCAAGTTTGTTGGAGTATAACTCTTCATAGTATTCTGTTATAATCCTTTTGAATTCGTTTGGTTCCATTGTGACATTGCCCGTGCGGTTTCTAATGCATGTTATTTGTAACTTCTCCCTCTTTTCCTTTGTTAGGTTTGCCAATGGT